ATTATGTTATATTTGTATGAAATTTTTCATCACTGATGATGATGTTATTAGGAGACTTCTCTGTGATGCCATTAATCATGTTAAGGACATATATTTCTATTTCTAATTTGCTGAACTATTTTGTTCTGAACATGTGTTAAATTTTGACAAACACTTTCTATGATCATGAGTTTTTTCTCCATCATATTAAATTGGTGAATCATGTTGTTTTGTTTGCTGATTTTAACTGAAATTTGCTTTCCAATGACTAAAATGAAAGTTGACATGATACAATGTTGATTTATGTGTTTTTGATTTGTTTACATTTTGATTGATTTTTGACTACATTTATTAGAGACATCGGTCTGTAGCTCTGTTTACGTTATTGCCATATCTGCTTTTGAATGAGTAATGCTGACCTCTTGGAATAAAGACTAAGTGATCTGTCTTTACCTTAGTTACTATGCTGTGCTATCCTTCCCTGCTACTGGAACACACAGAGGATTTCCTGCCAGGGTGCATGCACAGGAAGGCCCCTCATCTGCAAAGAACTTCACCATTTTCCAATGCCTGACCAATTTTGGTTTATTATGCATACTGCTACGTGAGCATTTTAACTAGTGCATTTTGGTACAGATAACAGGGCATAAATACCTGGGTGATAACCTTGTAGTTTCCAATGTGGGTGACCTAAATTGGATGCCCACCACCCATGTATGAGAAATCTGTCTATTCATGTTCTGGTTAACACTTGGAATGACTCATCTTTTAGTTTAGGCATTCTAGTAAGTTTACACTGATATAGAGTTTTAGATCTGATTTGCATTGTTATGATGACAAATGTAGTTGAGCATATTACCTATATATTGACCGATAATTTAAGTATTACTTTTTGTATTTGCTGGCAATGTTAGGACATTTTCAGTTAAGGTATACATCTTTTTTTTTTTTTCGTGATTCTCAGGTAGTATTTACATATTGCGCTTGGTCTTTGAAATAATTTTTCTAACACATTTTTTTTTTTGTTTGTTTTTTCAGTACCAGAAATTGAACTCATGACCTTGCGCTTGCCAGGCAGGTGCTGTGCCACTGAGCTAAATCCCCAGCCCCTACTAACACATTTTGTACCCTCTGTAGTTTGCCTTCTCACTTCTTAATATTTTGTGATTATTATACATTTCTAATATTTGTAATGCTTAATTTACTAGATGTGATAAAAATACAGTGGTTGTTTAAAACAAAAAATATAACAGCAAAAGGCAAATTGCCTTTGATACAACTGAAAATAATCCCCCGCATTTTGGACACCTTTATCCTACCATTGTAGAAACAGTGCTTTCTGAAGCAGTGCTGGCTGTCCTTTTCCATGGTTTTCAGTGTGCTGTCCTGGCTCCCTTGGTATCCTGAATCAATTCAAAACATTTAGGTTTCATGATTATTTTGACTCTGGAGAAGAGTGAGAGGTTTCACGGGGTGCCGGATCAGTGAATAAGATGGAAGAAGATATCTATAATTTTTCTATGAGCCTAGCTGTATTTCTGTTTATAACTCATAAAGACACTTAGAAGTGGACTTCCAGAACTGCTTCAGAAAGTGACAAGAATGACAGGATAAGTGCGTTGGAATAATGAATGGTATTCTGAGAGAGAGAAGTGGAAATCTGTCTTTTACTGTAATAATTTAATTTACAAATAATTTCATTTAAAAAAGGTAAATAAATCAAAAATCTTTTACTGTGATAATAATGACCATACATTACGATCATACATTAAATTCTATAATTGTTTACTTATACTTACTGCTATTTATGTTATTTATAACAAAGCTTTTCCCATGTCAATATTATGAAGATATTCCCAAATAATTTTCAGATTTGTTCATTTGTTCTCTACATTTATATCTGTAATTGCATGGTAATATTTGAGAGATAGGTGTCAATATTTATTTTGCATGGATTTATAATTAACAAAGAATTAGCTAATTTCACACTTCTTTTTACTACCATTAAAAATAAGTCAATTGTTCAGGTCTGTATGAGTATTTCTATAAATTCTGTATTTTTTTCAATTTTTTTTGTCTGTTCCTACAATTTTAACAGACTTACTGATCTTCTTGTAGAAGATCTTGATTTTATGTGTTAAAAATCTTCAAATTTGTTCAAGAGGCAAAAGTTAAAGATCCATTTTATGAATGTATTAAGAAATCCTAAGGGAATAAGTAAAAGTTTATATTTAGCAATATATCAAAAGGAGAATAAAATATTAAATTTATTTTATTTTGGGTATTCATGATTGTACTAAAATTGATAAATGTAATAATTATATTAGTAAAATAAAAAAATCATATGTTCATTTAAATATGTTCAGAAAAAGCTTTTGGCAAAATGCTACATATATCTACGTGTGCCCAGGTTGAAGAATACATTTAAAAATGTGCTATCTAGACACACTGGAAAATTATTTGGTCTTGAAAAAGATGAAACCCTGTCATTTGTGGCAATATGGATAAACTGGAGGCATGGATAAATTGGTAAAATAAGCCAGGCATAGATAAAATAAGAAGTGTGCATGTTACACTCATTTGAAATCTAAACAACTGAACTTGTAGAAGGAGAGGGTGGAATGGTGAGGATTGAGTGGTATTGAACAGAGGAACTGGGAGAGATGTTGACCCAAGGATACATATTTTAGTTGGATGGAGGAATTAGCTCAAGATCTTTATTGTACAGGGTAACAATGATAGTGAAGATCAATGTATGATACCTTTGAAAATTTCTTAGAGTTAATACACACAGATAATAATAAATATGTACAGAAATAAATATATTAGTAGCTTGGTTTCACCATTCCACAATGTGTACGTATATCAAAACATCACATTGTGCACTATGAATATGTATACTTTTAGTTTTCAATTTTAAATAATGTTAAAAAACTAGAACATGTTGAAGGAACCACATATAACTATTAGAAATACAAGAGGTTCTTCAATCTGGTAAAGTGACTTATCGCCAACTTCACTCTTAAAATTGAGAATAAGACATAATCAGTTATATATAACAGTATCCAACAAAAGCTTTTACCCTAAATTTCCAAGAATTGTAATCACATATTTTGCCAAGAAATAGAGCAAAATATTAGTTCTGCATAAGACAATGATGACAGTCAGAATATCACTTTGGTCTTTGTGTACACAGAAGAACCCAGGGCACCAGTTGGTTAGACTAGCACCATCCAGGAGACTGAAATGACCTCTACAATTTTAACCTCAAGTTTGCAAACAGGCATTGAGCTCTCCAAGTTTTCTGTTCAGTTTTATCTATCTAAGAACTTAGCTATTACCCCAATGTTAAGGAATTCCTTTTACTTTAAATTCAAATTTTATTCCACAAAAATGAAATACCGAAAACATCAGTAGTTTTGAAAAACTTAGAATTTAATACAATAACCTATTCCTCACCTACTTCATTGAAAGAATGCCATCAACATGGAAATTCTTGAGAAAAGAAAGATGCCAAAGTTCTCCTGAAGAACAATTAGGATTCAATTGGTATTTGTATTTTTTTTGAAACTGAATTTTCATCTTTTTATATACCCATGAAGTACAACACACACACACACACTCACACACAGATATATATTCATATGTTATCCAATTTGTACACATTAGACAAATAATAGTATTTTGATTTTCACACTATCAAAATACATGAGGTTTGGATTGAAGAAAAAAAGTCAGTTGTATATATATTGCCTGAGGATGGTGAATATGTCTTCACATTTTCGGGCATCACACTTTGCATTCCTGTGGGAGCAAATGAACGAGATAACCTCTGCCTCAACACACCGGTAACAGGCAGGTGCATGTTGGCATTAACAAAACTGACTACTGTGTTACCGTCCTGCACAGTGGATGCTTTTAGATAGGTTTTGTATTACTCAAATCTATATTCACCCCGTTTTTCTTCCATTCTCTTTGTGTATACAATATTCTACACAAGGAAATAAGAAAGCATGTGATAAAATGACATGAGACATGTAGCTGGAAGCAATGTTCCTTGTGACACTTGTGCTACTTACACAGCTTATGCCAGAGGCTCTCAGCAGTGTCATGTCCAAGCCCCTTCACCTAGAAATAGCCTTTCCCTCTGACAACCATTACATAATAACCAGGATCTCTAATACAAGGTATTGAGGATATTTGTCCAGCATACAGGAAGCGTCTCAGAGGCTATTAGGTTTTTTGTCTTTGAAACTTCTGAGAAAATTTTCTGTTCTTCAATTTGGGCTGCTGAGGACAGTTATTATAATGCTGATAAAGTGATTAAACATCAAGAATAAAATGTACACTCCCTGGGCAACAAGCTGTTTTTAGGTCAAAGGCCATGAATGTGCATGTCTTCACAGGTTAACCTTATGGACACCTTCTGTCTTGGAAAGGTGCTGTGAGAAGGTGTGGGGGCTGGGGATGCGAGGGGGTGTCAGAGACGCGGCTCAGAGGGTGTGTGTGCCACCTTCACGCCCAGAGCAGCACAGACAGCCACAGAACCTGCGTGGCTCCATTCAACAGGGCCACAGGAGAGAGACATGAAGCATCTGTGCTTCAGCGTCCAACAGATAGGCAAAGAAGAAACGTTGCCACTCGATCATTTATGGGCAATTTTAAGTTTGTGGTCTAATTCAGTCATTTAAACAATTCTCAGGATGACTCCTTTCACCCTTAGTTTTACTGTGCTTGTGTAAGAAGAAATTATGTTTGGATAGTAATTTTAAACGTTCATAAGACAACAGGTCCTAAGAAATGTGGAATATTTTACTACAATGTATGAATGTTCATGAATTTAGGGTTGTTTTTGTCTATTTCTGGACACAAAGAATCAATATTTTACTTCCTGGCCAGTGCCTAGGTGACAGTAGTAGTCACAATCAGTCACTGTGACCTGAGGTGGCAGGACAGCAGGCCCGTGGAAGTGTGGAGCCAAAGATCCTGCCCTCCTAAGCCACGTCCCACCCCTACTCTGGTTACTTTCCTAGTAGCTTCTTTACTGCTCCTTTTACATCTTTGTTCCTCAAGGTATAGATTAGGGGGTTAAGCATTGGAGTTATGAGTCCATAGAAGAGTGCAAGAAGCTTCCCTTTCAATTTGGCCGAGTTGCTCTTGGGTGCCATGTATGCATAACTGCTAATGGCAGAACCATAGAACATGACAACCACCAGAAGATGAGACCCACAGGTGTTGAAGGCCTTCTTTCGACCTTCAGAAGACTGAATCCTTACCACTGCTCTGACAATGTTGACATAAGAGAAAAAAATCAATCCAGCTGGGATCACTTTTATGACCACCACGGCTGCATACATTTCCACCTCATTAACCCACGTATCAACACAGGATAACTGAAGCATGGAAGGAACCTCACAGAAGAAATTCTCAATGCGATGCTGGCCACAGCGAGGGAGCATGAAAGTCAACACAGTCTGAACCAAGGAGTTGCTGAAACCTGCTGTCCAAGCCACTGCTGCGAAGTGCGAACATCGCGGAGAATGCATGACAACCATGTAGCGGAGTGGCTGACAGACCGCTACATACCGATCAAAGGCCATCACTGAGAGAAGGACACATTCAGTAGATCCTAGAGCCAGGAAGATGAAGAGCTGAGCTACACACCCAATGTAGCTGATATTTCTCCCGTGGCTTTGTATATGCATCAGCATCTGGGGAACAGTGGAAGTGGTATAGCACAGGTCCAGAAAGGAGAGATGAGACAGAAAGAAATACATCGGGGTGTGGAGTCTGGGAATAAGGCAGCACAGGATAATGATGGCTAAATTCCCAAGGAGGGTCATGATGTAGAACAAAGAGATGATCCCAAGAAAAATCATTTCTAATTTGGGCCATTCAGAGAACCCTACCAAAACAAAGCCATTGTTGTGATGGAAAGTGTTTGTGTTATTGAATCGGGTCATTGTTGTGACTTGTTGGAAATACCAATGCTAGGATTTTGAGGTCCTTGTTACCTCGGCTCATAAACCTGTATGCAACAGACAAATGGACAGTGGATGCTAAAACAAACCAAACCAGGAGTGTATTTCCATTTATCACTTCCTTAACAAAATAGCATTGAAAGATGCATATCCTTTTAGTAGCCATATATTAAGTGATGAATTCCAGAAAGAAAGAGTTTTACCAAAGTAGATATTAAAGATGAATTATAAGATACTCATTACAAAAAAGAGTTGAATCTGTTAACCTTGAATAAACTGGAAACTTCATTAGAGCTTGTTTAATTCTATCGTTTACTAGTTCTTTTCTAATCTCATTTCTTTTGATTGAATTGTATTCTTATGTTCTTTTAATACATTTCTATTATTACCCATGTGAGGTACCACTGGTTGGTGAAATTTAGTGAAATTATCCTTTATGCTCATTGTATTTCTCTTTTCAACTTAGTATAATTAACTCAATACAGATTAAACTCCAATGACCCAAGGGCATGTGCTCATGGAACTAATTTATGATAAAATTTAGCCAATGGATAATTAGTAAAACAAAATGACTAGGAGTAATAGCATAATGTTTTCACTAATGTTGCTTGTGTAAAAACAAATTTAGGTAAATAATACACATTAATATTAAGTAATATGAACTACAAACATAATAGTTTCTGCAGATGTACTCCCTAGATCCCCACAAGTTCAAATAGAAAGATTCTCAAGTCAGGATTTCCTGAAATTAAGCTTGAGTATTATAAAATGTGTTTTCTAGAAAAGTGTGAGCGTATATTGGATTTTCTTTTTTTCTTTTAAAAATAAAAGAACAAAAACATTAACAAACACATATACATTTACATCATAACACAAGAACAATACAAGCAATATTGAATTTCAGACAATATATTGGATTTTACATAGCAAACTGGGAAGGGCAGTGAAAAAATTTTAAACCTTCTCCAGTTTCTTTTGGATGTGACATTACCAAATATATGATCATATACACATCCACCTCCTCAAATATGAACTATCCATATGTTTCATTTTCCCTACAGGTAAAATATATGTACAATTCACAAGAGACTGCATTATTCAAACTCTGGACTGTGTACAATGCATGACATATGAATATGACTACTAGGCTAGGGATGTAGCTCTGAGGTAGAACACTTACCTAGCATGTACAAGGCCCTGGTTTCAATTCTCAGCAATGCCAAAAAATTTGTTTTTAGGGTGGCAATCATCATCATCATCAGTATTTAAAAATTGACTTACTGATTCTTCACAGTTTTTTCATAAGTAGTTTGCATGTAGTATTTAATGTAATTGAAAAGCATTTTTTATTCTCAAGACAGAGTCATGTGGAATTATTTATTGTTAGAGCAATTTAATTATAAACAGTAATTATTACATGTGACATTCATACATGCATATATGACATTTTGATTATATTCACTATGACTTCCACTCCCTCTCCTCCTCCCTCCTACTTCTGATACCCTTTCTCCTTTCTAATAGTCTCCCTTATATTTTCAGGACATACACTCTTTTTTGAAGTTCCATAAGGGAGGTAAAAACATGTCATATTTGCCTTTCTTGCCTTTTTTTATGAGCTTGACTTACGTCGTGTTCCCCATTTTTGCCCATTTTCTGGCAAATTATATAATTTTCTCCTTTATTACTAAATTATGTATACATACATATATCTTTCATATAATATTATGAATACATATGTAATGATATATTATATATGTGTATTCATATATATGTATTTCTATGTATACACATATATATTTCTGTGTCCATTCAGCCATCAATAGCTTGTAGGCTGATTTCATAACTGGACAGCTGTGAATTTTGCTTCAATCCCATGGCTTGCAGGTGTCTGTAGAGTATGCTTACTTTATTCCTTTATGTGTACATTGAGGATTGGAAAGATGGACCATTTGGAAGTGCTCTTTTCCATTTTCTGAGGAATCACCATAGTGATTTCCACAGTGATATTACTAATTTACATTCCCACCTTTTATGCCCACCAGCATTTACTGTTTGTTGTTGTTGATGATTGTCATTCTGATTGGCATTACATTGAATCTCAATGTAGCTTTTTTATTTTAAAGAGAGAAAAACAATGATATGTAACTTCAAAATAAGATAGTAGGATATTAACAATGGCTAATATATTGCATATTGTTTTCTTTAAAGTAGTTGCTCAGATTTTAAATATTGGTAGTTTTGTGTTGCATGTCCCTAATGACTAGAGATGTTCAAAATCTTTTCTTATAGTTATTGACTATTTGTTCTTCCTTTGAGATATATGTTTAAATCTTTTTCTTCACAATTTATTGCAGAATATTGAACAGTTTAAGTAAATTAAGTTTATTTTGTGTTATCTTAATTGACAGATGACATAGTATTTGAGTATTGTGTTAAAAGTGATTTGTGAAACATATGCACTTTGTGGACGGACTAGATATAGCTAATTAATATGTAGATAGCCTCAAATATTCATTGCTTTTGTGATGAGAATGCTTTACATCCACCCTGTTAGCATGTTTCAAGCATAAATATACTTTTTAACTACCTGTAGTCACCACACTGTACACTTGTTTTCCTGAACTTACTTCTCCTTTCTTAGTAAACTTTTGACCCGGGAACATCAGATGCCTAATTCCTGCTTCAGATGCTCCAGCCCTGCTAGCCAGCATCCTATCCTATAGATCTTTGATGTAATCTTTTTAGATTTCACATATATATGAGTGAGAACATGTTACATTTGCCTTGCTATACTTGGTTGTTTCATTTAATCCTCCCAAATTCAGTAACTTTATTCATGTTATAAACAAAGATCGTGATTTTCAGAAAGGCTTAATAAGTTTTATAGCTATCATACGGGAAAGAAATGACAGAGGATGGTGTTGATTCCTGATTGGCCTCAGCCCACGTGGTACTCTCTTAATTACTGTTATATGCAGCCACTAAGATTCTTGAATAATCTTGTGGCATGTGAATAACTAAACCTCCATACTCATTCATAACATTCAATATTATCTTATAATGACAACTTCTGTCAGGTTCACTCACTTGCATGTCCGAAATTAAGTCACTGTGTGTCTGACCTCAGAGATGAGGAAGCATTTTAGGGAAAGCAGGTAAAGCCTTGGAAAGGACAGTGAGCTGGGTAGCTGGCACCTGAAACAAGAGAATGAAGTTAGAAAAACAAATGCTAAGAAGAGTGAAGCATCTTACCACAATGTACATGATTAGTATCCTGGTTTCAACCATTAAAAGTCATGTTAATGTTAATTTCTAAATAAAGGTATTATCAAAATATTATAACAAATAAATCTTTTATAACAGTTTCAAATATCAAGAGGAATTTAAAAGAATACAGAAATACTATTTTAAATGATAATATAGCTTTAAGTAGATGTTTCTCCAGAAGAATATATTCTAAATGTAAAATTAAATGTATATAAATATTCACATTGTAGTATATTTTGCATTACTGTGTTTATATTATTGAGAAATTAGAATGAATAAACATCATCTTTCAGAATAGAGAATTGAATTAAATGCAACTTATCATCTGACTAGATTATTATACATTCAACATTAATTTTATATATGCATTACCTTTTCGTGATCCTTACAATATCTTATTACAAAAAAACCCACAATATGAAATTTGAATTTCTATTATAGCAGAAGTATTTTATTTCTCATGTATATCAAAGCATGAGAAAATATACAACAAAAATGATAATTACGATTATGTCTTGGTTTGACATTATGACTCTCATTACATAATTGTGTTCTCTTCCAGATTTTACGCAGCGACTAGGCATTATTTCTACAATGAGCAAATATACAATGTAGTCAGGAAAGCACCCCCCAAGCAGCATGAATTACCATGATAAAATTCTTATAATGTTACTATGGCCATGCAGCATATCTATTACTGTGCTTTAAACCTTTCCTTTCAGGGTTTATGAGCAAGTCACTCAAATGAGCAGCTCCTAAGATGGGGACTGCACACCCGTGTAAACTATTGGCTTTATGTCTTTGGGCAGTCAAGTAAAGTAACTATTACATGGATGTCATTATGGAGATCCATGTTGTAAAACAGTACAAAGACAGATAAAGTAAAGGATTTCAAAGCTAGCTATATTTTTGCAACAGTTATCTCTTTATGGTGTCTAACCATATTTTAGTTGTCAATTTCTTTCTGATTAATTTTTTGTGGTGCAAAGATACAAGAAGCCAGAAAAATGATGTTTAATTCCATTGTATTGATGTGTTAACTTTCTAAAGTGTTTTCCTCAGTGTATATAATTCACTGTGCATGCTGAGTTTGCTTAATGTAAGCAGGGAATATCATTTTATGGAACAAAGTGGTTACAGGGTATGAATATTCCATGTATGAAGCTATGTAGATACTGCAGAAAAACCAGATAGCTTTCCAAGGGCATAGGCATTGTAAATATTGGAAATGAAGTCAATCAAGCCACACTTCACCTGACAAAATTATATCCATGGTCAGGGATCTTTAAAAAACTTTAGTGCTCTGAAGGATATTATTTACTACTGGTTTCAGAGAAAAAAGATTCATTCTGTTTTTAATAATTTTCCTGAGAAGATTAAACTTTAAGAATAACTTTATAGTCCAGAGACCGATTTCAAAGCCTAGTCATAATATAGTAAGTTCAAGCTGAAGATGGACTTAGAAAATAATTTTGACGTGCTTCTTTGAAAAATTTCTCTCATCACTAATTCAAAATTTTTACTTCATGCTGTCTTTAACAGTAAAAATGTCTTTTTCTTTATTTTTGATAGAACATAATTTTAAGTAACATGCCTAATCAAGTTGCTCTTGACAACAAGGATCTGTGTGTGTCTTTGCACTGTGCATGCTGCCTAGCTTGAAAAATGAAATATTAGTGAAATTGATATATTAGTAAAACTATCATCTATCT